ATATTTTAATAGCTTGACATTTTTGTCACTTAACGGTGTGAGGTGACGGTCCTATTTAGTACATGAACAGTACTACGACTTAGGCGAAGGTTATCACTTACATCAGATGGGCCGTCAATTAGTTAGTCATTCCATGTTAGGTACTTTTTTAATATTATATTTAGGTGCAACCACAGATAGAAGAGCTGTGCCCTTTCTAATTTATTCTGTTTGTGTTTACAATTCTCGTTTACTGTTCTATCGTTTCTATCTTCTCGTTTACCTACTGTATCTACTAGTCTCATTGATTAGATACTGTTTTGGGCACTAATTATTATTTATCCAATAATCACTTGACTGATAGAGCTAAGGTAATAGATCGATTACAAACTTCTTAAAATATATGACTTTTTATTAAGATCTGAAACATATTTAATACTACCTAAATAAATAACTAAAACAAAGTAACACTCTACAAGCTTGATTACAACCTATACATTCAGTAGACGAGGCAATACGGAGCTGTAATTGGAAACCGAATCCAATTCACTCAAAATCTACGACGTCATTATTCTAAATGGCGGGACGACGCAACAGCGCGATGCCACAAATTAAAGCTTAAAATGGGCGCTTAACAGCTGACCCAAAATCGAAGTCCCCCTCGTGTCAGAGACGAAAAGCAACGGGGCGGAGTCGCCACGCCTCCGATACGTTACTCTGTGCTGGGCTAGACGCGACGCGTCAAAAGTGCCCCGGACGCGGCTTCACGCACCCGTCTCGCGTGTCAGAAGTGAAAGGTTGACTTTCGTTCGGAAACGCTGAAAAAAATATACGTAAATACATTTTGGTTAATCAAATTTTAGAGGAAAAAAAAACAATGAACTTTGGACATTGATTAATAGTGAATTTGTTAATGTGATTCATAACAAAAACTTGCATTTATTAGTTTTTGCGTGTACTTACTTTACTGACAAATATCTATCCTAGAAGCAGTCTAGTAAGAATTTATACATTAAATTATTTGTTAATGAAAAAACTAATATTTTTTTTAATTGGTAATTATAATAATTCATTAAACAACCGTCTTCTTAAAGTACAGTCAGCATCATTTATTATGATTAAAATTACCGACTCGGATACCTATAACAATTTAATACATAATAATTTATAAGATATTAGATAAATTGTCACAAAGATTATAAATTTTCTGAAAAGTAGCAGGTAGTTCCTGTGATGTCGCCTTCGTGGACTACTATTGAGAATTAATCGCACGGGAATACAATACTTGAATATTTTTATAAAAGTATCTAATATATTCAGAAAATCGGCTATGTGTTTAGTGATAGTCTTAGATATCCTATAACTATATATCCCACTAATATGAGCCACCCAATGTTAGAGGAGATATATGATATTATATAATAAGTTACCTATTAATTCACATGTCAGCTCTATTCAAGTATATAACTAGGTATATAATAAACTACTGCAAGTAATTCAAGAGATGCCATTAAATAGATTTACAGAAGAACTACAGCAATTCGTAGCAGCAAGCTCGTAAAAAATGCTGTTACTCTTTGAGAGAATTGACTTAACATTTAATCTTCTGTGTTTATAATGTGATTTATTTGTAAATCACTAAGAATTATAATTTGCATACCTCCTGAATATGAGGCAAACATTTGTAACTAACACGTATAAGATCTTCATTGTAAATGTTTAAGCAAATAAATTATCTATCGATCTATAAGGGATAGGTATATAGGTAATATATATCGTTAGGAGAGTTTAATAATCTTAATTATGAATGACAAACTTTCACGTAAACCCCATATATATTTAAAATATGGAGTATAACTATATTTGTTTCTGTCTAAGTATATCTACATTGCATATGTTCTACCTAAGTTACAATGTTTCAGATAATAAATTTACTTAATTCTTAAATAATATACGTGATAATAATACTAGTAGGTTTCTATTCTAAATTCAGTGAAACAAATTTTTGTGACAAAAAAAAAATTGGGTACATACGAACTCTATGTATATAGGTACTATCGGCATTGCTAGTAATTATTTACTACTACTACTAACTAGTTTACTAATATAAATAATGAATATTCACATGGTGCCGTGTGGAAAATATCATGATATATTCCTAGTAAATTCATTGAATGGATTAAGCGATCTTATCCAATGATCCAATTCTTATTTTATACTCCTTCATTAGAGACCCATCAATATATACCTACACATCGTTATCCCACGCGAAATACTATTTCATTATCCACTAAAAAGAATCATAGCGTGCTATCGACACTCAAATGTAGAGACAAAAAATGGACATTAAAAATGCACCAGTATATTAAATAAACCAGTCTATCCTCAACTCATAATCCATCCGTATGTCATTATGTATAAGTGAATTTGAGGGCCTCGATGGTCTAGCGGTTTGGCACTCCGCCTTACTTCCAATGGCCGCGCGTTCAATTCCTCGCACGGTACAAGTATTTGTATTCATGAGTATGATTGTTTGTTTCGGTCTGGCTGTTTTCTATGTATAATATGTATTTACAAAAGAAAATGTATCAATGCACTTATATCAGTTGTCTAGTACCAATAACACAAGCTATAGTTAGCTTGCAACTAGGTGGCGCTGTTTAATTGTCGTGGGATATTATTACTATTATTTATAGGTACTACCTATATATTCAGTATACGCGGATATTTTTGTCGATAATTCTCGACTAATTTTGGGGTCGTATGGGATTATTTATGCCGAGACTCCTTAATCGTGAACGGTTTTAACAAAAATATCCATGTAAGTAGATCATATAGGTGTTCATTTAAAGTTAATAGTAGTAATATTAAATATAAAGAAGAAGAAAGAAGGAGAAGCAATTTGATGTTTATGATTTTTTTTGTAATAGATAAATTAAACTAATATATGAATAAGTTTTAAAATACCTGTAGAATTCTATTGGTATTATTACAAAGTAAACGGGTTATAGGGCCTCGGGTTATTGTTATTTTGCTTATATATATATAGGTATAGGTATAATGTAGGTACTTAAAGTTGTCTCACCATGTTGAAATCTGAACAAAATCCTTAATAAAATTTTATTCTAAATCGATGACAGGGCTTTAAGACGTTTAATAACTATTCAATTCAATTCAAAGTCAACGCATATAAATAGATACATAAGAGTTTCTTGCTCATTCTTCTTGTGATGAATCTGCGTTCCGAATGAGTGGTAGAATAAAAAATGTTAAGTTTATTTGAATAAAACTATAGGTATTATGACCATGTATATAGATTCATTCTTCTTGATTTATATACGATCAGTCTGATAGGGTATAACATATCGAATGTAGGTACTTAAAGTTATGGCACCATGTAGAAATGTCCAAATTCTAATCCTTAATAAAAAAAAATATCGATATCTTTTCAACTCAAAAATATCAGCAATCACTTAATTACCACATAAATTTGCATACATGCATAAATGGTTACACGTAAGTTTTGTGCTCATTCTTATTGTAATGAGTCTGCGTTTCGAATGAGTGGTAGAATAAAAGAAAATATTATTATACAAAAGTGCTTATGTTTATTTGAATGAAGATTATTTCTGTTTCTAATAAAATAACTGAATATACCTACAAATAATGGAACCTAGGAAGAAGAATATGAAATCTACGTAACATTACATATTGAAGAAAGAAGCAATATTCCATCCTGTGAAATTCTCAACTCACATTGACCTTTTGTCTAGTTCCCATAGGATTTACAGAAAATCCTAAAGTATAGTAGGTAGGATACGTAGTAGTTATATAATAACTTATACATATATTATAGTTATATAAATACTAATTGAAAGTTTCATCTTTGTAACTTCAGCATGCATATGAATAAATAACTATATAAATAGTATTTTTTATTCATAATAATGCAATAATTATTAATTAAACTATATTATGTAAAAAAGATAGAATAAATAATGCACGTTTATAAAGACTAGATGTGATAAAAATATAACTTAAATAAGATTACCTTCTATGTGCCTGTTATATATATTTTATAGTACATACACAAATTAAATAAATTTAATGTAAGAATGTCCAGTGACAGTTCAATAAGATATTTAGGTATTCCTAATTCAATATTTAGTAAAACTTAATCGCACTCATTCTTAGTGCAATCAGATAATATGGAAGCTATATTACTCTTCAGATTACGTTACATAGAAAATAAAGATTATGTAGCTTATTTAATATTACAACCAATTGCTTAGGTGAATAATTATTATCACAGATTTTTCATCACTGTCCTACAACGCTTTCTAGTTGGCATTAAGCTCGCCTCTTGTACACTCTTTATAGTGCAATAAAGAATAAGAAAATAAGCAACTTTATCTTGCTCCCAGCCATCCTTTCCTATTTACAGCCGCAAGTCTATTGTTTTTACATAAATTACAGATCAATATTTATTTATTGAATGTAATTATTGTAACACTTACAACGACCAGACAAAAATCTGAAATAATATTAAGTAGACACTTAGTTATTGAAAATTATTCTGTTTTACAGACATTTAACACTTGATTCAATACCAAAGAGTATAATATATAATGTATTATATAAGTAGGTATCTGGGTATGTTTACTCTAGTTGCTTTCAATTCGCGTGTACCATTACTCTGCACTTTTAGCAACTAAAGCGTAAACAAAGTAGTGGCGAACGAACACAGGTTATTATTGATGCTGAGTGTACTTTTTTTTAATTAATTTTCTACTACTGCTCAACATAAAATTAGTAGAAATTTATTCCACAACTTGAACCTTATCGAAGTACCTACACAGATTATTAATGCTGACTGTACTTTTTAAAACAATTTTATAGAACAGTGAAAAACCACAGATAACATATAATTATTTTTAAATTGTAATAAACAAATTGGTGTGAAGTAAAACGATGAAAACGCTGTAATTAATTTTCGTGTGATATAAAAGACAATTTACAAAATGGAAGTTGCTCAGACACCATTACAATTGACGCAAGACCACCAGGACGGCCGGATAAGAGGTAAATACTTATATTATTATACTGACTTAGAAATTAGAAAAATTAGAAAATTGATTATTCAGAAAAAAAAATACTTTTCCAGATAAATATATTACAGGTGCGTATTATAATAGAGAATCTTACTAACACTATTAATGCAAAAAATCGTGACTATGGATGTATGAATGATTGTTACTCTTTCCCGCAAAAACTATTTCGATGAAACTTTACAGTACTATAGTTTTTACCTACATCAGAATAACACATAGGCTCCAAATTTCATGCAGGTGTAACCGCGAGCACAGATAATCTATAATATAGTTCTTATCGCTTGTTAAACCAGTATATGTAAATGCTGATAATTAGAAAAATATTATTTTAATAAATAGATCGATCCTTAAAGGAAGTGATTATGGCCGTCCAAGTATTGTCACAAACAATCAAAACGTTTTTTTTTTTTTGTGGAAGTTTTCTTATATTTTGCCTGTTTAAGTTATTATAATTGAATGGAATGTATAATTAGAGAAAGATTTTCGACTTAAAATCAGAAATCTAAAACCAATACCTACCATTATTTTATTGATAAATAATAATTTTCAATGTTCAAACATTCCCGCCAATCTCGCCATCCAAACATTCTTCATGCGATTTTAATACGGGCAAAGGAACATTAGTATTCAGCCCCAAACAGCCAGTAACTCGGGGTCTATTTGACTGATTCGCAGCCGCTCCATGATTTGCCACTTTACCCGGTCATCGCGCGTTCTGAATACAAAACAGCCAATAGCGAGAGCCGGGATTTGAAATTTCATTTTCGTTCTAGAATAATGTGTTCGCGTTTTGAATATTAGGATTTTATTAGGTGTCTGGATTTAGCTTGGGGTTCATGAATTGGCACAAAAAATGAAGTCTGTGGTAATCAATAGGTACTCGTAAAGTAATTACTCGTAAATTTATTTTTATGTGACTGGAATGCGAAACAAGTTGACGACTATATTATAAATAGTAATTATTGCTTATATATATAATCAGCACCATGAACATCTCGTCATCATACGATAGCCGTAGCATCTCTGATGCGTGCTTATTTCGGGGGACTAAATGCCTTTAATTTTTCCTTTTAACTTATGCCTTTTTTAACGTTTACGCCAAGACAGCATGCCACGGGAAGTATACCAAATGTTATGCCTAGTAATTTCACCGCCACATCTTAAGCTCTAAATGAAACACAGCTTACGAATTCAAAGCAATATTCTTAGAGGCAGAAATATGTGACTCAGGAGTACTCAAGAAGACTATTTTGTACCTATAAAGTCTACATCTAGTATTATTACTGTGTAAGTAAACAACTTGAGTATACCTCAATTTGTACCATTTGATGTACGCGGATACAAAAACGGCCTTAAAATATACATTGCTAGCAATGAGGACGCTAGTTTCCCTTAACAATTCCCTCCCCCCAATTACATAGCCTACCACGACCAAACAAACAAATAAAACTATCAGCTTTATATAACTAATTCTATTTGCGCTTGAAATAGACAACAATTTCTCTGTAATAAGCACAGACATCCAATATTTCACGGACGTGGCAATAGAACGAAGAGAAGACATAAAGGAAAATTTTATAAGACACATAAAAAGTTCCACCAAATTGGAAGTCAGGGTGTGCCGGGACGGGGCGGCGCGGGTAAATCCCGGTATCAAGATAAATCAATGTTTGTTTGTACCCGAGTACGGTACTTACTGGGAACAGCGCTGACAGAGGAGTCGCGTTAATATTTTGTCTCAAAAAGTTTGGCTTAGTTTTCACTTTGCTGTAATGCTCCAAATTATTGTTATTGATAAAAGATAGACGTAATAGCTTCGCTATTATATTTAGTGCCAAATAGTATGGCTCAGTGTAACCCTAAGGTTTTCAAATTATAATACTTACAACTATACATAGAAAAACTATACAGACTGATAACAAGTATACAAAAGTTGTTGTAGGGAGATAAATAAAATAGTTCTAGATATGCGTCGCTTGTTTAGATAGATCTATGAAACTCTGGAAATACTGTTATAATAAAATTTCAATAATTATTGTTGAAATTTTAGACTATAACACATGAAGCATGCAATTTAGACTATGCATGTTTGATCCCAATTGTAGGTAAAACTGACACCGCCGACTGCATAAAAAATAATCTTAAAATTAATCTTATGAACGTATGGAGAGACATCCGTAATATACGTATATAAGAATAATATTAGAATATATTAAACTTATACACATATATGCATTTGAATAGTCATTTTTTATTCTACTGCCTATATATATTTGGTATGTAAAAACCTTCTTAGTTTCTACATTCCAAATGTGGTGATGAAGAATCTCCTTTACAAATAAATGTTGTACAACTTTGTGTGTTTAAGATTTTTTGTGACTACACACTATTAAATAGTAGAAATATATAGTAAAAACATTAACAAGTAACACTCTCTATACATTCCGTAGCCATCGTCGTAACCCGGAAACTTTGTCGCTTGCCGTTTTATTTGCTTTTCTTTTGACGCGGCAAGCCCTTGAGCCGCTCTGATTAATTTCACCCCCACCACAGCCTCTCCCTAATCCGCATTTAAACGCCCACATTGGACTTTTTAGCGTCGAGTTAGTGTTGAGACTTGGTATGAAAATATTAAGATCACTTTATTCTATATCCAAACTAACTACGTGTGACTTGCGGCAGTGCCTGCGTGAAATATATCACTTTTAAATGTAAATTTGTAATCGATATCTTTTTCAATTGATCTAGTCTTTTTTTAAGTATACTCCTTACAAACAATAAAATCTTACCTCTTTTCAATGTATAGTATAACCACAGATAACACAATATTACATGTATAACCATAGATAATATAAAGAGGATAGATTTATATTCTTGTTGTTGACGATACAAAAAAATACTTAATCAATTTAAAAAACTGAAGACTAATGCAATAATGTTAGTCCTGCGAAGACGGGTAAACATATTATGAAAATAATGTATTTTGAAAATATATTGTTTAATATTCACCCAATAAAACAGTTTAGAATAGGGTTTTTAAAAGTTTTTCAATGTTGTTTCAATTATTGTCTATTATCTTCAGGTTAGATCTTACACTGGGTTGCCAAGAGCATTAAATTAGCAAAGTCTCGTAACGAGAAATCAAATTTGAACTTATTCTTCAAATTTCACTTAAAACATGTTCTGTTATCACTTTGAAAATTATATATCCACGCAATAAAATTGCGATGTAGATATACTTCAGTATTCGTTCTATCTCTATTCAGAGAGCTTGCGTCTACCCTCGCCCTAGCGCAATAGCAATACTCTCAACCGAAATTTTGCTTTAAATATATATTCCACTCTATACAGCTTGTTCTATGATTACAGTATATATGTATAAAGGTATTTCGACGATAATGATTCTGAAAATATATTATTCTAATATTTTTCAAATTTAATATTTTCTTGAACTATTCATTCGAATGAGATAAAGAAAAATATTTTTTTGCAATGTAAAAATCGTTTTTCGTTTACATTTAATTCTAAAACAAAGTATGAAACATTGATATTAGTTATCCTATGGTTAAAATTTCATAGAGCTTATTGCAGAATATTTTCATAGTTAGCACATTATTTATGATGAGAGGTCGAATAACCACCGATTTGAGAAAAATCGAAATCAAAACTAACTCCCCTTTTAATATCAAATGAAAAAAGCAACCGTATTGAGAATATCGCTATTTCTGAAATCGATTATAAATGTCGCATTTAATATATATTTCAAAGTATTAATCACACATATAATACAAATCATACAAATTCACTTAAAATTAAATCATGAAATCAATAAAACAGATTAATCTGTACCTTGTCATAATACTTGGCGGGTCCCATATGCGCCGGTACGGGCCCTCGGGACCAATTGGGGATCCCATTGATTTTATATTGTCCCCATATTGCCCCTGATTTTGGTCCCAGCGGTTATGGGGAACGGTGAATAAATATAGACCGGTCTAAAAACGTTTTTGATTGTTTAAAGATGATAATTTTAAACGAACGATCGATATCTGTTTTTATAAGTGGTATACCTAAATTAAATATAGAATCTTGAAAAATAGATAGATAAAGGGGTTAGATAGATAGATAAGAACCCTAAAATTGTAGAAGGTGAAGAATAAGATGAGATATCGCGTAACGCTTACATTAAAAAGATAAATATAAAAGTCTTCTCCTCTGACCTTTATAATTACAAAAACATTAGCATTAAACTTTTTGGTTTGGTAGAGCTGAGTATTAAATTTTTGGTAGAGCTGAATATTAAACATTGTGAATAGTGAGCTAAACTATTAAAATTATATCCATAAAAAATAATACTTAGCTCTACCTATCCAAGGTAGAGCTAAGTATTAAATTTTATGCATAAGTAGAGTTGAGTATTAAACATTTTTGACCAGGTAGAGCCTAGTTTTTATTTAAACTTTATGACTAGACAAGCTAAACTATTAATCTCATTGGATAGGTAGAGCTAGGTATTAAATTTTGTAAATGAGTAGAGTTGAGTATTAAACTTTGTGAACAGGTAGAGCTGAGCTTTAAACTTTGTGACTAAACAAGCTAAACTATTAATCTTATTGGATAGGTAGCGCTAAGTATTAAATTTTGTCAATAAGTAGAGCTGAGTATTAAACTTTTTAAATAGGCAGAGCTAAACTATTAAACTTTTTGGATAAGTAGAACTAATCATTAAACATTGAGAACAAATATACTTAACGCTTAAAATTTACGAATAGGTAGAACTAGATTTTAAACTTTTTGAATAGATAGAGCTGAGCATACAACTTTCTGAATAGACAGAGGTAGGTTTTAAAATTATATAATCCACGTGACAGAGCTTAGAAAATTAGGAATATGTACATCTTCTTACAGCGTTTTATTATGTCTAGGATTGCCCAAAACACTAATTATAGAAATGAGGTATAATACACCAGTGTCTGAGAAGAAAGAGTTAAATCATACTCTATACTGTGGCGCATGACCAGCATAGTAATAGTAGGTACTTATGTATACTTTTAAATTTCATGTTATGGTATACTAGCTACCCACCCCTGCTTTCCACGGGTGAACATGTATTATACATGTAAACCTTCCTCCTGAATCACTCACAGCAGAAGCGGTATCGTTTTATACTATGGAAAGATAAAGGTTTACTTCTTTAGACATTTCATCATCACGAGCTGACTAGAGAGCTGTGTTAATGTTGGTAGATGTCAGCCAAAATATCTTTTTTACAAATTACTCAAGTTTAACCCCAATGGCTATATTAAAAAGTAGATCCTTCTCTTACAAGAAAAAACCCATGATCAGCTGATGTACATCATTGGAAAAAAATACAAACAGAAAGGACCTGAAAGGCATTAAAATGACAAAATGAAATAATTCAATATTACAAACAAAAAGAAATCATCGTTAAGTGTAACGAGGCAAAATACACAATTTCGTTTGTATGGATTGTCTCGCAAATGTAGTTACAGACGGGTGGCGAATTGGTGATGGCATGCCCTCGTCGAATTATATCGCTACGTGTGGATCTGTAGAGTTAATAATATCACAGACAGCGCTGTGTGCGACAGAGACGGGCTGATGAGGTTGAAATTGGTACATTCGAAAAGTGACTTAAAGCAACCATATGAATACGGCATATTTTTATACAATCCTAAGCATTTTGCTTTTGCGTTGTTATTGATAGACAATGCTGTGTGTGATAGAGATAGGTTTATTTCAGATATGATTCAAAATACTATTGGGCCACAATTTATATTTGTATTAACAATATTATCAAAGTAGTACACTGTAATAACAAAACGCAGTAGAGAAATATATTTAAATGGAGTTTATTTCTTAAAAACATCTATATTAACAAAGCATTAGTAACTATTATAATAAAGTATTATTTATTAACTTCACATATTATTTTGGCTTCGTTTATTATTAACAGGCGAAGGTATATACCATTAACCATCAGGTGCGCCGTATAATTATTTGCCCTTTCAAATACTTAAAAATAAATATGTTTATATATCTCAAATATTACATAATAGGTATATGCAAAATATTGACAAAATGTGTATTTTTTATTTCTAAATTTTGAGCGCGTTTAACTCAATCTTACATGGTATGTAATGATGCGGTCTAAGCTGTTACATGTAAGCTCAAATAGTGCCTATTCAGTATTCACTTTTGACTTGAAAGACCCAATGCTGTAAGAGGAATCACAGACGCTGGGAAAGAGTTTCAGTCCTTAGCTGCTTGCATAAGGAAAGATGATGCAAATCGGTTGATTCGAGCGGCAACTGTCAACTGTATATGGGTGCAGCTCTCTACGTCTTGTTATGCGGTGGTAGAAGACAGAGGTTTGAGACATCACTAAGATTAATAGAAAACAAACCCATCTCTTATATTATTATTATATACTAGGTGTTCCCGCGACTTCGTCCGCGTAAAATGACGATACTTACATATAACCTTTCATCCCCTTTCAACCCCTTACAACCCTTTTTTTGCATTATAAAGTAACCTATGTCCTTTGTTAAAGTCTAGACTTTCTGTGTAACAAATTTCATTTAAAACAGTTCAGTGGATTCGGCGTGAAAGCGAGACAGACAGACTATAATATTAGTAAGGAGTAAGGATTACATACAACGTACTACAGTCCATTCTGAACATTCATAACTCTATGAACTAGTACGTGCTGTGACTGTTCCTGACAGTTAATATAGGTAAATAAATTAATACAATGAACCGCCATTGTATTGTGAATCACCAATTATCACAACTAGGCGGGGCGGGATTCAGCTTTGGGGTGTTTCTATTGTTCAGTCATATTAGTCAACCGTCTATCTGTACAGTAGATAGTACTGGACAGGTGATATTGAACTACAGACATTTCTAGATCGTCTAATCCAGTTTAAATGTTTCCCAATGAGGGGCCACGCCTCATAGGGGGGGTCGTTTGGTATTTAAGGGGGGCTAGTCGAAAATAGACTTGGTACGAATTTAACCTTTCGGCTCCTTTAGCTTAATGTAAAAATCTAATTTTTAATTAACTGTTTTATCACATAATTAAAATAATAAATGAATATAGTAAAATGTTTATTAAAATTATTTGAGAATTTACTTACTGTGTTTTGTTAGCAATTTCGTAGTTTTTTCTTCCCAAAAAATTGTATTTAAGGGGCGCGTGTAGGGGGGAGGTCATAAGAATTTTAGAAAGTCATGTCTCACTGGTCTAATCTATTTCTGATTTGTACAGGATGCACCTTTTTATATGAAATATTTGCTGTTACATGCGCTTTCGGATACTTTTAGTATTAATATGGAAAGATAGCATATGGTCGTCCCAACAATAAAGTTTATATATCTTCACGTCAAATTTCGAATTAAGATCTGTTCAGTTGTACAAAAGTAACAAACAGATACTAAGACACTTTCGTATTTATAATATTAGTAGATTAATAAGGAATTTTCTATATACCTTTAAATGCTAGAAAAATATTTCTCTTTCTTGTATGCAATTACCAAAATTGTCATTTCATTAATATATATAATCAGAATCAGACTTTTGAGTAGAATAAGAATCGTAAATCAAGTTCTCTACCATCATTATTATCGTCTGGTATCCAATCACTTAATTGGTTTGATACATTACAATATTATAGAATTCTAAACTCTCAATAAACCCTAATTAAAATATAATAGAGTCTAAAATTCTATAACGGATCAAATTTGGCGGAGTAACGCAGGGGTCGATATTTGGCCCCCACATAACCATAGTCAATGGAAACGCTATTAAAATGAAAGGGTGTGATTTGCAATGGTTATTTTATTAGCTCTATTGAGATTAAATATTTATGTGTTTAATTGCTTAATTCAATCCATACATTATACTTAAAACCTTAAAAAATACGAACTAACAAATAATCAAATTTCAGGCTATTTTTGTTTGTTAATACATCACTAATACAAAAGTATGACTTGTCTATATATCTAAAAAATACATTTATACCTCCTCTCTTTTAGATGACAATACATCTCCACTTCGCTGGTCACCTCCTACGTCAGCAGCATTGGTTGCTGCTGCGTTGGCACCGCCGGCCCTTCGTCCTTGGCTACCAGATCCGCCCACCAAGAAAACTAACCATTTGGGTAAGACAGGTTGGCATCCGACCTCATAAAATTTAATAATGCTAACAATGTATTTACCAATCGATACGATAAAACGATGAAACGTTCAAGAAAAGAGCGTGTTCTTTTTTAACACGTTAAAGTCCGCATGCCAATAGAAAATAAAGAAAATGTTTAGTATACTACTCATTCTGAACACAAACTCAAGAAGAATGACGATGAAATTTTCGTGTTGCTCTTGTAATTAAATGTTGTTCAGAATTAGTACATTTGTAAAATAATTATTTAAAACGAAGTGCCAAATAGCAAATTTGACATAAGTAAATATATCAGACAAAAATAAATCCCGAGAGATACATGATAAAACGACGATCTTCTATTCTACCTGTCTCTCTTCTCTAAGCAAATTTTATTAGAGTACTTTTTCGTTATGTTTTTAAAACTCATTATGTCATCTCCAGGATTGGTCTGCGTGGTCTGTGGCGACACAAGTTCAGGAAAACACTACGGCATCCTCGCCTGTAATGGTTGCAGCGGATTCTTCAAGCGATCTGTACGGCGGAAACTTATATACAGGTAGGTAATTCGCTTTTTTATAAACTAGTAGTATCCATAAAATCGTACCGCTACATATTTGCATCTATTGATTATGATCGAGCTAATTTATTATAGGAGTTATGGTTAGGAAGACAGGTTACGACATCAAACAACGGTACCAAGACAAGACGATAATGATTTATTATTGTTTACGACAGGATTTTTTTTTTAACTTGGAAAAAATCTTTATAGATTCGACCACCCATCCACGAGAATGTCTGGAACCTATATGTGAGATTCATACCCACTAAAAACTCCATGGTTCCTCTATACACCAAGGCAGCAAGCCTTGACGTATCCATTTGCGACAGGACCTTGATGAACTTTTTTAGAATACGATTTTTCTTTAGTACGTTTTGTAAACTAAGTGTATTGGTAAATGAATCACTAAAATACAAATCAGCAATTACATCGAATTGTGAACCTATAGAAGATAAAACAAAATTACTCATTGTAATACTACGAAACCGAACAGTCATATTGGGCAACGTAATATATACGTAGACACAATTAAAAAAGAACACATTGACATAATTCCACTGCAAGGGAACAAAACATTCAAAAACACATGTGATGAAATTGAGGTTTCACTTATTGTATGCTTTCCGTTACACATCATTAATGTCTTACAATTGTTCAAACTCGACTATTTGTATAATCCAATTTTCGGCAAATCATATATTTGCATTTCTAGATATTTCTTTGTTATAACTTTATGTTTTTATCGTATATGTTATTGTAATGAATGTCACATCTATTAGTAGAAGAAATAAGTGTGGAATTGTTGAAGATATCATATTCTTTTTTCCTCATTCTTACTTTCAATTTGTCAGATCATTAAGTATTTATTCACATATAGTATTTATCTTTATATTCATTTATGTTTTAGTTTTATAGAAATTTATATATATTTTGCCCTATATCTATATATTTTTTTAAATTTATATTAATGCACCGCCAACAATCTTTCTCTGCACCACTCATTGTTGATAGATAACGCCGCAAGGTGTTAAGTCTACCATATGTACACTTTATTTTTTGCATTGAAGTTAAATTAATATCATTGATAAAACACAAACATACAATCCTATAGAAATAGATTATAGAAATGTATATATTATGATAATATTTAAATTTTGAAGTGGTGCTTAGTTTCGAACATGCAAAGCAATGGGCAAAAACTAGTAGTTAAAGGTGAAAGTTTCGTTCTGAAATAATCAAACATTGGGGTCACAGGTGCGACATAGTTCAGTAGCTCGGTGAACCATATACACAGACACGGATGTGAGGCAGCTAAACAAACATTGCTTAGCAAAATTCGTAACAAGTTATTTTTTGGAATGAAGTTATTCATGAGAATGATTGTACTCATTGAAGGACTGACAGACTATTTTATATAGCTTAAGGAGCAGGTCTTTTCTGTCATACTTCGAGCTGTATGGGTCCACATCTTTTACAGAAGAAATTTGTTATTTTATTATACTCGTCTGTATATAGGTATAGAATGATTATTAAAATAATAAAGATATTTCATTTAGTATAGGTAAACCTATAGAAACTAAACAGGCTAACGGATCTATCCGAAGGGTACCTCACCATATCATAATATGTCTTTATACCCTGTAATTTCACTGCCATAATCCACCATTCAACCGAAGCAAACTGCTTGGCGGCTGATATAGGTATAACTTTGTACAAATATGTACCTACTATGTAGGAACTTTAACGTCCGTTTAACAAACGTTCAATTTAGTTATTATTTAAAAATTAAATTATTATGATAATGATATTAACCGCGTGAGGAATCGAACCCGCGACGATCGGAAGTAAAGCGGTGTGCTAAACCACTAGACTACCAAGCCCTTCAAATAACTTTGCAGTCTCCGGCAGCACCGTCACTTCTTCTTCTGTATTTCTTAATATTGATAAATTGTTCTTCGAATATCAGCGTCTATGTCAAATAGCAAATAGCGAGGACAAGAGGCCTAAATAACTGTACATTACTAAACAAAATACAAAAACAAAATATTAATTTCAAATCAAGCAGCACCCCAAAATTGCGTCTAAATCTTTTTAATCCCTATCAAAAACGCCATAGTACTACAGTATGGCGTGCAGTTTTTGATGGGGCCGTGGCGGGGCTCATCTGCGGGTAAAAATGACAATGAATGCAGGGAATGCCGGGCATACCCACTTGTATACCACTTAATCCGCAGTCAGGCGCATTTCTAATTCTTGGTGCATCTGTGACTTGTTAGGGAGAGGTTACATCATATTTTCTACGTATATTTTCGCATGTTTCCATCGCGCTTCGTACTGTGATTTTTTCTGCAACGATCTTTCTTTCAATATTAATATAATTATACATTTCTAAACCAATGTTATAGACAGGAAAGATTTAAGTTTTTATATTTGTAATGGAAAATTTAAAAATAATGTTAGATTTTCAAAATCTTTCACCTACAGATACTACACGAGTGCTGTCTGTAGGGACTGGTCTGTTCTTATCACTACGACTGATTGAATCTTTTAATATTTTGACCCGAATAAATTAGTGATAGTTTGTATTCACACATTTCGACTTAAAAGAACAACATCCAATTTTTTTGCTGGTTCTTCTTGTGAAGAGATAACTTTCCGAATGAGCGGTAGATTTAAAGAAAAAAAAAACTATGACTATTCAAAACTGCTCAAATTAAGTGTATTTGAATTAAGAATTTTCTATTTTATTCTATTCCATCATCATCGGTGAGTTGATTTTGTTAAAAAAAAAATGTGATCCTTCCAATACTTTTTTATACGCAATTTCTGAGGTCAATAAACATATCAATAACACAAAATCTGTGTTTTGGTTAAAGGGTGCGATAAGACAGTGAAATTATAGGATAAGAGGCATGATATCTGTGTTCTTCGGAATGGCAACACATAAGTGTTGTCACGGGTATTACATGATGACGTGATATCTGTGGTGCTGTTCAAGTAGGCCGCTATTTTCGCATTGCAAATAAATAAAAAAACCTAATAATATAAACTCAAATATATTTTCCATCATCATTTTTGATTCCACAGATAATACAAAATAGAACAGAATATTCTAAAACATCTATTTGTCGACAATAAAGAGTGTACACATGTCACACTTGACCATTTATCATAAGGGTGGGCATACACAACACAATAAATTAATAACATTAAAAGCGGGTGGCGAATTAATTGAAACTGTACTTGAATATGGGGTGCGGAGCGGGCCAAATGTTAAACTGTTATTAATATTATCAGCAGTAACCTACACCGGTTTAAATGTAGCAAAAATTATTCAAAAAGAAATCGCTTCAATACAAAAAAAATTTAGATTTTACGTCAGTGAGTTCAAAACAATAATTAAGAAAATAATGTTTTATATTTTTTATTCAAAAAAGTGGTATCTATTATTTACCGCCTCTAATCGAAATTGCTATATGTGTTTATCACCTAACTTCTCCTACACGGCTACACCAATTTAGATGAAATTTTCTGTACATATTATGATTATAATTTTAATATAGGATTTCTATTTTTTAAATAAACTTATATTTGTATAGACATGACATTGAAAAATTGGTTTCATATTTTCTGAATTTATGAATTATAACCGAAAGTAGTTTTTTCTTTATTTTAAGACAATTCATTGTAGGTATAGATCTTAGCGAAGATAAGACTTCGTTAAGTTTTCACTGATGTACCTTAAGAAACTTCTATAAAGTTTTTAATTTAAAGGAAGAGATATGTGCAAATTTGTTAAGATGTTCTTAAATTATGAAGTGATCAAGAGAAATAAGGTTTCATTTAAATATAATAAATGAATTTCGACGGCCTGAGCCGAGGTTCGAACCCCTAGTGGTGCCCTCAGCCTAAAGTCGTATCCGTCAGGCAGGAGCTGGCCTTCAGCCGCTCCATAAGTCCTTCCGCGGTTTTGGAGCGCCATCTGCACTCGCCCCCTAAAGGCTAGCTGCGGCCAACAGCATTAGAGTAGTCCAAAAAAAAAAAAAGAACGAAAATGCAAGTATAACTTAACCGTAGTATTAAAGGAAAGCAATCAGAAAGATGAGGAAAAACTACTCAATCAAATTGCGAACAGAAATGCTGGCGTAGAACTAATAAAGATTAAAGATATTTCATTACTGGTAATCCTTGCTATAATAGGCTTACGGGAAGTTGACATTTGTCGTGGTCAATAGGAGGGCGATTACTTGGTGGTCTATGGGAAACTGTATGTAGAGTTTTGTATTTTGACCCTAAACGTCCTTTTTGCTGTGTAGATATCACTACGGCGGTTTACTATAGCTAAATATGACGGTAATAGTATATTGTTGTAGTAAGATTCCTTTATGTCTAGTCGACTAAGATATTTACAGTGATTTTAATTTAGATGTATAACATATAAAAGTGTAATGAAAACAGTGCTAAATATTTTTTAGGATATAAATAAGCTTTTTATAAAAAATATAATCAATAGGGATGTGCTTAGTAATTATTAAGATTTATTCCAATGTATAATTATTTATGTAAATAAAAAAATCTTAATAACATGCTACAGCACAACTCATCGAGGTTACTAGTAACCTGAGGGCTGGTAGCTACTTTGCCCAATATAATCATGGCGATTTAATGAGAGAACACTTCCAGTGTGGGAACATTAACTCGATGTGCCGCTTTGGATAACAATGATTATTTATAAATGACATGTAATTGTTTCTAATAATAAAATCTTATATTAATAAAATATACTCCAAATATGATATCGAATGTAACAATAATTGATAACATATTGGGTTCACTGAACTGAACATGGTAGCTGAAATAGGTAGTACCGAACGAACGTTGAAGAATTTTTTCAAAGTCTACCTCTATATATTATGATTTCAGATTTATTTATTTGCCATCTAAAACAGGTTACATTTAGCTCATCAGTTACAAAATTATAAGTCAATAGTAAACATTAACATTAAATGTAAGATACATTTAAATTTGACTTTGACATGTTCACATTCATTAATGTGATAAATAGTGATTATTTTCAAAAAAGGACTTTATAGTTCTTCTCCATTTCAAGATTGGTAAATCGGCTATTACTTTTGGCAATCTATTATATTATACATAAATATCTTCAATCACAGCCCCTGCTTAATAGAATTTGCTAGTCTTTTTTTCGGTATAACAAATTTGTCTTTCTTTCTTGTGTAATAATTAGGCATATTATCTCGGTTATGTTTTATATTTTCCTTGTTTTTGTCTCACAATAAATGAAATACAAGAATATTAAGATTAAAAATACACTTATGTTATTGTTTAGGTGTCAAGCTGGAACAGGGCGGTGCGTTGTGGATAAAGCACACAGGAACCAATGCCAAGCATGCCGCCTCAAGAAGTGTCTCGCGATGGGCATGAATAAAGACGGTGAGTTGTATTTATATTATATATGTATATATTATTCATTTATTTATTTATTAAAACTTTAATGCACAAATACATAAATAAAGTACACATGGCGGACTTAACACCTTGAGGCATTTTCTCCCAGTCAACCATTGGGCAAACAGAGATTCATGTTGGCGGTGCATTAAGAAATTGAAATTCAAATCTAAAAAAAAAAAAAAATAATAAGAAGATCACTTTAATATGATTAAATATAAATACATATGCGAATATACTTATAAACTATAATACATAATATGAATAAATAATTATATGTATAATATAACTACATACACGTACGTACCTACATACATACATACATACAAATACACATACAATTATAAATTTATACAAATCAACAGGGAAATTCAGATGCATAGAGGTGGTTGGGTGGAGGAATAATACTACAAGGATAACAGGAGCCTACACTAGTTCTGGGAAAGGTGTTTGCGTAATTTGGATTTGAATGTGAATTTCAATAGACGCGGTTTACCCACGTTAAATTTACAACCTATGGTTATTCTGATATAAGCTATATAATTGTAAAGTTTAATTAAAATCCATTCAGTAGTTTTTGCGTGACAGAGTAACAAACATCCATCCGTCCCATTCACATTTACAACCGTCCGCGTTTATAATATTAGTAAGATTATTATAAAACTAATACATACTAATATTATAACGCGGAAAGATTTTATTTTCAGTTTGTTTGATCGCATTGAATAGGCTCCGAAGTTAGTGGACCGATTAGTAAAATTCTTTTACCCTTACAATCCTACATTAGATTTGATTCGAGCATTGTAATAAAACTTGATTCTTCCCACGTTTAAAAATATCTCCCTAATGGGCAAACATATCAAAACACGTCAAATCCGGCAATAAAAGCTAACAAATCCACGTTGAAGCGCGCCCGTCACACGCAGTACATAAACCAATTAGGCGAAAGGACATCCATTTGGACAGACCCTAAAATAATTTGTTATAACAATATTTATTTATTGTGCATATACCTTTATTGTTTTACTACTTGTTTCTCGTGGTATCGCTCGTTAAAATTCTTATTTAAATTTTTATTTCCCATTCTTGTGACATCCCATGTAATAATTACAACGGAAGATTTTGTAAAAGTTATCTGCGTGGATACAATTTCAACTGGCTTCGAGCATGCTTTGTAAGATGTGTTTAGTTTGAAGAGTATTTGTTACATTATATGTAGTTGGTTGACTTGGATTATATTTGAATATCACATCTGGTCCAGTGGTAATTCTTACCAGTTTAGCAAAACACGAAAAACACTAGTTTTTCTCGAAGAGGATGACCATCAGTTATAGTGATATTACAAGATATGAGGCCTGACATGTTGATCCTCTAGAATGGCAACGCTTTAGGTGTATCACATGATAACGTGATGTATATAGGCGAAAGTTATCATTTACCTTCAAAAATCATTATCATTATTAAACTCATAATAATTATGACTTTTGTTAAATAAAATTGTTGTAGTGTTCCCTTAAACAGCGTTGCATCAAACTCAAAATTACGTATATTTCAAATTGTAAAATTATATAAAATACGATTTTTACACCTATATAAAAATGTCATAACAAAATATATAATGTGTTAGAATAATGTTTGTCAAATTAAGTTAATTTATAGATAGATTACCTTTATTGCCAAAATTAACAAAATACCAAACATACACAAAAATAAGAAAAAAAAATCATACGAAGTTGGCAAAAGGAGCTGCTTCAGCTGGTGCTGATATAAACATAACATTAACCAGTCTATACAGCGCCAGCTTTCAGGCATTCTCTATTGCTGATTAAAAATCATCATCATCGTACATATTTGTTAGTCTTAAATTTTACAAAATTGTGATAATAAATTATTTATACATGTAAAATAAATATATTTTTTAAGTATTGTTAATATAAAAAAAGTCCATATACAATAATTAAATAGCGATTATATACGACCAACGGAAACATTGTTATACCGTTAAGGACAATTTAGACAGATTTAAACACATGCCCTAGTATTAAACGAAAGAGTACAGACAGCAAGGGTTGTAGAAGTTTTTAGCGAACACGCGCCGCCACGTGGCTGTAACCGCTCCGTATACAAATGATGGCTTACGCTGGTCTAAAAGTTTTAATTTCTCAAACCAAGTCATGCATACGTTTGTTAGTTTAGTTCGCAATCGCGGAACGATGATTTCGGTGTAATAATTTAAATGCAGATTTGGGACTCTTGGCTTACATTCGGGACTTTTAAGCGAACTTATTGTAAAAAATATATGATATATATTTTAGAGTAGATTTTACTTAATATATGTGTATAATATAACTAATAAAAGAAGACTAGATTAGGCAATTTATTAAATACTACTTGTCGAAATTTGAGCATAATTAATTTAAATTATAAGTTTCAAATTTAGTACGTTTCTATTATGAAAGACACAATAATATTAAAGACATACAATATTAATCTATTCTCAATTTGACTACAGATTTTAACAATAAACAAAAGAGCGTATGCGTGTATGTATCATATACATAGTAGTATGTGGAATGTGTAATATGTACTATTTTTTATGCATAATAAAAAAATATATTAACATTTTACACTCCTTGTCTACATAAACTATATGTGTGCGAAATTTCATACTCCTCAGGTCGCGCAATTTTTTAAATCGGGGTATAAAGTTTTTGCTTCACGTATTGATATATAGACGATGTACATTAATTTTTCAGTATAAATTCTTTGAAGAAAATACATTCAAGGAAAAAACATATCAATAGACAGCTTAAGAAATGTATTCGATAGGTATATCAGATATATTATACTCATATCTCAGTAACACAATTGTTTAATCAACTTTAAAGATGTTTGTTATAAGTATCAATCTTATTTACCATCTGATAATGAGGTCATATGTTATTTATCAAGAATTTATAATGTATAATGACAAACAGATGTAATATTTATGATTATCAAACAGCTATTGTGAAACTCTGACGAATAACAACTATAATTGCTTTTCTATGTGTGTTTTCTGTGCCTGGTACCTCACATACATTAGGTATATTGAAAAAGGTTATAATAATACAGGATAACAAATATCGATGTATATTTTGTACAAAATTGTCTTGCCTCAATCTCACCTACATCTACTTCTTCTGTTCAACAGCAAAATTAGGAGAAACTGGTAGTTTTAAAAGTAGCAAGTAAAGGTTCAGTTTTGAAAAGAGAGAAATAGCATTAAAATAACAGGATACGGTGATATAATACCTTATGCTACGTTTACATTCAGCCGCTTCCCCTGCCACTCGCGCTGCCGGAAATATTGCCGGGCGACAACAACACTCGCGAACGCCGGGCAGCGCGAGTGGCAGCGCCAATGGCATGGGAAATGTTTCCACTCGTGTTTACACTCTCGCGCTGCTCACTTCCCTGCCCACTCGGGCTGAGTGTAAATTGGGCATTAGTCCTCAGGAGAGACAAGTATTACAGCCATTACAACAATATAATGACGCTACAGTACCATATTCCATCATGTGGGTCATCACATTATTTCTTTACATTCTAATTTTAAAAAAGTACCTGTTATTCGGAGACCTTTCTTATTTTAACAATGTTTGCTGTTTATATAATACGAACGACTAGGCTTCGCAGGAATGCATTATAAATCTTTGAATGTCTCGGCTTGTTCTATAAAACGCATGTATTATCCATATGTATAAACCTTCTTCATAAATAATTCTATCTATTGCAGAAAACTGCATTAAAAGCGGTTGCGTAATTTAAAAGATGTAAGCAAACAGATAGCGGCGAGATTTTTTTATACTAATTTTTTTAATAAGTAAAGATTTTAATTTTATCTATCATAGAGAATCTATTCGAAATCTGTTGGATTTGCTGTCATTATACATCGCGTGCTAATATCAGTGTGTAGTTTCTCGTAAGCAGTTAAAGGGAAAATCAATAGTACGAGTAGCAACAAAAGAAAGCCGTGTGAAAGAAGACAAATATGTCTGCCCATAAAAGATTTATTTATCATCTACCCGCTGCTCTTCAGTTTACCCGTGATCATGGCAGTTGAAACTGCCGAAATATTAGGAACTCAATAAAAAAAGACGCAGTAAGATCCCGTGATATATCCTATAAATGTAACTTAACACTTATAGGATAAAGGAGAATTGTCTACACGTAATCACCAGATCATTGTAAGCGATTGTAGCACTCTGTTGGTCTCCAGTTTATCATGAGCGTATTTTAAATCCCCAAAGTTTACAATCCACCTTCGTGACCCTTTTCATTCACCCACATTATCCGTTATTAAGTTCACAAGCTATTATTAAGCCCTTTGCCTCGAGGCTCACTTCATTGTTGGTCATGCTCGTGTCAGCATTGTTACAATGGAATTGTCACATACGATTTTTATATTTAGAGGGAATATAGGGAGATAGAATAGTGAACTTTTGACTTCTCATTTTAATCTACTTGTCGTATAAGCACTGCATTTATTGACCTTACGATTAATCTGTCGCTAGGCCGACACCTCGAATATGTACTACTTACATTAATTTTTACATTTCCATTATTTTTTTAAATACTGTAATTATTTTATTGCATAAACAGTAATTTTATTATTGTAAGTAATCTACAATTTAAGCATTTTAATTTTGCGTCAGTTATGGATTCTCTTAAATGATGCAGTAACTGTGGAGTCAATTGCAATGGTATATTTGTTTCTAAAAATAAGTATGATTATATGACACTTATAATGTATATCAGGTTTTATATGCCTTACTTTATTTATTTCCATGGCAGATGGTCGGAAATAATTTATTAAATTCAAATTTCATTAAGACCTACTGATTAGCCATTAAAAAGTAACAAGCAGACAGACAAATTTTCGCATATATGTATAATATTATGAAGCAGCATTAACATAGACAATTTAGATATATATTATAAGT